TTTGGTGCCTGTTGTGTGCAAATAAACAAGACTTCATTCTATTTGTTTATATTTGAAAAGAAGAGCTGACTTCAACTTTTTTTTTGTTGTTTAAATTATTTAACTACAAAAAACAATTTCCAGAAACCTAGATTTGATAATCTGAGATATAAAAGAGGCAACATTATAAAGAGCTCTGTTTCTCTAATGACAACTGTTACTCCACCAAAAAGACATCATCAGTAATTGTATAATGTGCTCTTTGTTACCATCTATATGGTTGTATTCCGACTGTGCATCACTCTAACTCCTTTATGTCATCCTGCCTTCTCAGCCCATGTTCTTTACCAGAATGACTCTCTTGGTCTATTCCTGTATCAAAATACTTTGGGGTCGTGTTTTGTCCTTCTGCCCAGCCCGCAGTGTGAACGGTTACGAGGGCTTCTTGTTCTCTACCTCTGCAGGGGGAGTATGTCTGGCCTCGATGATCCTTATGCAGAAGCTTAGACTACCCCCTGCTGGACTCTCAGACGCTGTTTCATATAGAGTCTCCTATGGGAAGTATTTGAAAAAGTGTTTGTGTTTATCGATTGCAGAGCATTGCTGCTGCCTCTGGCTGTGAAAAACCCAGTTCAGCTGCCATAGTTGAATGCTTAAGAGAAAAAACAGAAGAAGAGATAGTACAGGCAATACTAAAACTGGTAGGTGAAATTACACTTTTCGCTTTCAAATGGCATTCCAAATTTTATTGTAACAGAGTATGCTATTTGGCTGTTGTAATACTAGAACGCGAAGTGACTGTAATATCTGACCTGCTTGACCTTCTCAGGTTTTGACAGCTATGCTATGCTATGCTATACCTTACCTGAAATATGTGAACAGGTTACTTCTCTTTCATTCTGCATGGACTTTTAGCTATGTGTGTTTTGCTGTCATGCTGTACCAGGGGAAGGAAAAGAGTGTAGGAAATGTAACAGTTTCTCCTGGAGAACCTGAAAATTAGTTACTATATTATGTCTTACTTAAAATTTCTTATCATAATGCTGGAGTCCATGTTTCTTTGCAGTTTCAACACAAAAGTTGGTTTTTTCCCCCACTGTCCCACACATGGAACTAACTAAGAAGAGATGTGAACTGGACATAATCATCTCTGTTTTGCAAACATTAAAAAGGTGATGATAGTCTTCACTGAATCTTCTTCAGAAAATCTGTTAGCGAAAATTTAGAGGTGGCTTGAATACTATGATTAGGTTCTTACTTGGCACTTCATTTGTTTTTCTCTGGAACTACAGTAAAAAAATTACTTTTTTTCCTAGAAGCATAATTAATATATTAATGAAGCTTTGTTTTTTTCCTTTTTTTCTTCCTTTTTTTTCTTTTCTTGTACAGCCTCCCATGTTTGTCAGTGCATGTAGAGATGGGGTGTTTTTTCCAAAGAGTCCCGAGCAATTACTATCTGAAAACATGATCAGTGCAGTCCCATATATAATAGGAGTAAATAACTGTGAATTTGGATATGTAATTCCTATGGTAAGCATCTGATAATGTTGTTACTTATATATTGTTTTGTTAATATAAGATTATTTTGTTATTAAAAGATTTTGTAATAAATAGGATTCTCTGTATCACGCAGGCGGTGAAATTTCCTGCTTACACAGATGGTATGGATAAAGATGCTGCACATCAGATTTTACAGACTTTCTTAGCATTATCATTTAAGGTAAGAGACCACTTTCAGAATAGCCCAGTGCTGCTTCTTCACTGTATGGTTTTATGTTTGTAGTCCTGGAGGAGTATATTTTAGAGACAAACTTCTCTCAAAGCAAGCTGTTTGACAGCTTCCTATCATGGGGCAGTACTGGGCAGCAGTTGTAGCATATTCCTGTTGCCATTAGTGATTGAAAATGCACTCTTAAATTTCTATCATAAATGCCCCTATTTTTAAAAAGGAGTTCTGTGGAAATCCAGAAGTGATTCAGGTACCTAAACGCAGGCCTCTTGTGACATTTTAGATACCTTAGCTTATCCAAGACATGCGTATGACACAAGATCTATAGAACACACCCTTCTGAAGCAGTAGCTGGAGACCAGAAAGAACAACCTGGGATGTTTAAAATGGCTCTGAGAGACCTATGTTCAGGTTTACTTGAGGTTTTGCTTGCCTGTAATTTACCTAACCTCTCAGCTTTCCAGTTCCTTTATGCTCTCTTGAAACTACTAAGTACAGAAAAATGCACATTAATAGGTAAGGAGGATTTTATAAATGTGGCCAGTACTTGCAATGGATCATTCAGTGTCACAGCCAGCCATGAACTTGGAAAGGAAGAGCCCAGGCTTGTTCTAAAAGGGAGTAAATTATGGCTATCTACAGCAATAAATTAATTTTATGGAGGCCAACAGGATTTCTTATGAGGGTTTCTTCCACAGAAGAGAGAACAGGCTACTGTACCTATTTATCAGCATCACTGACTGATGTTTATCTAAAGATGCTTGAGCTTTAGATCTCACAAACCTCTTTTCCCTAAGAACATCTATAAGTGGTAGTTGTGTTAACTCCCAATTCTATGCTCTGAGCCACGCTCTGACACAGTTGAGGATTTTCTCTGAAAGTAGGTAATGTTTGGGTTTTAGCCAGGGACGTGCAGATGGCACACTCAGTTAGTGCTATTAATCTTTATTATATTCATCATCATTGTAAGAAGTATTTTTGTTGTTCATTTCAGGGTGTTGCTTCTGAAGTTTTTGATCGGGTATACGAAGAATACATAGGGAATGCAAAAAACCGTGCTGAAGTACGAGATGGCCTTCTTGATGCATTAGGAGATTCTGTTTTTGTTCTTTCATCCATTGAAGTGGCAAGATACCATAGAGGTGTGTCTCTGATTCAGCATCTATTAAAAGAAATATATAATTCCAGGGGTGTGTTTTGGACAATATACATCACACTTCATTAACCGAAACTGCTTAATTTTACCAAAACTGTTTTCACTTTACCAAAACTGCTTGTAATGAAAGCTTATCATCTTTGGTGACAGGTTTTTTCAGCTCTCACACTTCCGCTCTTCTGTATCTTTTCTACTAGATGCTGGCAACCCAGTCTACTTTTATGAATTTCAGCATCGACCAAGTTCAGGGGAAGGTGTTGTACCAGAGTTTGTAAAAGCAGATCATTCAGATGAGATCGCCTTTGTTTTTGGAAAGCCATTCTTAGCTGGTGATGTATCCATTCCTCTAGTGTATGCCTTTTAAAACATCATTATTATTAATTTTACTTACTGGGAATAAGTATTTAGTAGTATTCTAAGTAGAATTTCCATTCTACTTAGAATAGTTTCTCTTAGAAACAGTGGACTCAACATAAACATTTTCTGTCTTTAGTAGTAGCTATTTTTCATGAAATCATTCATCTGCAGTCCTCTTCTAGAGCTCTGCTCAGGTAGAACTCCTATAGCTCAGAGTAATGAGTAGAACTGATTACAGTCTATTGGAATTTATATAGCTGCTACTGTTTTGATTATTCAGGTTTTAATATTGCTGTTTTATCTCTCACTTTGCAGGGCATGCTACAGCAGAAGAAGAAAAACTTAGCAGAACTGTTATGAGATACTGGACTAACTTTGCTAGAAATGGGTGAGAACTGTAATGCTAATTACAGCTCAAGTTTTGTCTGTGCTGCCTGAAATATATGCCTGAAGCAGTACTTACATGGTGGTTCCTACAACTGTGGCAGAATTTAAGATAAATACTGAAGCAAATTATTTCTATACTTAATGATTTTGAGAAAATCTTTTAAATGAACCTGCAGACCAAAGAAGGGAAAAAAAACCCAAAACCACCCCAAACAAAACCAAGCCTCTGTTACTCCATCTGTAATGGAGTTTTAGATCCAAAAGCAGTGGCAATTATTAAACTTTTTTTATTCCATTGATGAGCATTTTGATAAAAAACATCCATCTATTAGGTACTAGAATCACATAATCTGAGCTTGTGTTAGTTTTCTGAAATGCTCCCAACCTGAGAAGTCAGAGCACAACTGATAGGCAGATGAAAAGCTAACTTTTCTTTATGTTATTTCCAGAAATCCCAATGGAGAAGGCTTGGTCCATTGGCCTCAGTATGATCTGGATGAAGGATACCTGGAAATAGACCTAACACAAAAGGCAGCAAAGAAATTGAAAGAACACAGAATGGATTTTTGGATACAGCTCACAAAAGAAATGAGGAATGAAAGGAGAGAACACACAGATTTATAACAGTTGTGAAGGGTACAATTTGCTTTCAAAACCTGAAGTAAAGTTGGACAAACTGATTTTGTCAGGATGCAGAATTTAATAATCACCTTCTGACTCACTATTATGTAATCTGTTGTCATGATCACAGGGAAAGGAAAGAATCAAGGGAAATGTGGAATGTTTGTGGGACTAAAAATCACTATTTAATGAAGCAAGCAGAAAACCTCCACAATCTTTCATGCTCAAGAAGACCTTGGTGTCTACTTAGTGGGTATCAAAACTGTATAATGCTCGTGTGAGAAGGGGGAATGAGAGAAAAATCGGCAGACATTGAAATCTGTAAGAAATTACCTATACGGAATATATCGTAAGTGTCAGACATATGTTACATACTTACTCCTCTCTTGTTCCAGGCAAGAATGGTCAGATATCATTCTTAACACAGATACCATTCATATCACAGCCTCTTTCCACTTTATTTAATTGGAAATAGCTTGTAGGGAGCACAGCAACCATCAAAAAAACATCATTCAGATGGGCTTGACATCTCACAAAGGAGGACAGAAGATCTCTGCTTGTTTTCTTGTTTTGTAAAGTGTTATAAATAAATGTTGCTTTTGATTTTTTGGAACTTCCTTTTCTTTCACTTAACTGATACAGGCTAATTCCAAGAGGTTCCAAGCCAGAAATGCGTCCAGTTTCTTTCTTCAACCTAAAGCGTTTCAGATATGAATTTTCCAGGTTGTTTTTTTGGTTGGGCTTTTTTTTTTGTTTTTTTTGCAGAACCTGAGTCTCAAGGCTGTAGGGTTTTCACAGACTATTCTGTGGTGTGATTATCTGTTCTTCAACCCTTCCTGGCGCAGAATTCACAAGTCATTGGCTGAAGGGAGGAGGCACTGCTGGCAGGAAGAACACCCACTGAGACAGAGGAGAGAGCAAAGTGTGATGTTGATCACAGCATGTTCTTAGCTCAGCATTGTCCGTGGGCTCACAAAGGGAAGACCTGCTGCTCTGCAAAGCATGCAGAGCAGCATGCTTTGTCCGTCTTCCTGACACTGGCCTTCTGCTGCTGTTCACTGTGACTTAGTTGCTGAAGAAAGTACTGTTCACGGAGGAGTAAAACACAGTTAATAAAAGAAAATTGTCAGTCTTCTGTTACACTGATTGCAGATAATTCCATCTACACTACTGTGAAAACCTGGTTCAGCTGAAGTGGTTCACTGCTTAAGAGGAAGAAAACCCACAAAAGAGGTGGTAATCATAACTCTATTAATGGTTGCTAGTGCTGTACTTATAAGACAGTATAAATCCTTCTCTAAGATGAAAACTTAAGGCAAATCAGTTGTATCACACTTGCTTGGCTTTTGCAGGACTTCACAACAGTGCACTGGAACAATAATAATGCACCTAAAGAATGTGAGCAGGAACATTCGCTACTTTGCATTTCAGGGTAGAACTGCATTCATGACAGGAGTGTAAACAATTAAGAGTGTTTTACCCTGGGCCTGGTCATGAACCAGTCAGGATCATGAATACAAAACAGAATTAAAACTGAAAAAAAATGGAACTGGAAGCTTTGCACAGCCCATTGTGTCACCTCTGTCATTAGCAAGGCACATTCCAGCAGCTGGCTGATTTCTAATACAGTGTGCAAGAAGGAAGGACTTACATATTGGAGGAAGTAATACAGGATTTCTGAAGCCTTTCTAGGTTGAGCGCAACCATGAAGAAAGCTCTTCTTTTTGCACACGTGACCTTTTGTCAGTTGTTTTATCTGTTGCCATAACCAGTTTTTCCATATCACTGTGCTGGCTTGTCAGTTCTTATGCAATCTTACCATGTAATCTTATTTTGACCCTGTTATTCATGCAACCCTAAGTTAGAAACTCATTAACAAGTTACTCTCTGTCTTGAGCATTATTAAGTCCTTAAGTGGTACTAAAATTACATAAAAGAAACTCAGAACAAGGCCTGAAAATTAGTTACTTTTGGTATTATATATTATAGCTAAAAATAGGTGACTTGAGTGATTTCTTTAGGTCAATACTAAGAAAGCTGAATTCTCTTTCCAAGCAAAACTGATATATAAATAATGAAGGGGTACTTTTCTCTCCTCTTGCTATTGTTGCAGTTGCAAACAGCGTATTTCTCCCTAAAAACCCATTGCTGCTGCTAGCTGAAAAAATGATCAATGCAGTCCTGTAATTAGATATAACAGGACTAATGAACTGCAAATTTGGATTTATGCTTCCAACTGTAAGAGACATACAATGCCTTTTATTTGTATGTTTATTTATTAACTATTCAAGATTATGGGAGCTAACAGAAAACATTCTTTTCTCTCTGCAGATACTGAAATAGTCTCCTTTTGTAAAAGGCTTGGACAAGATGTAGCATTCAAGCATTACAGAGCACAGAGTCTTCCACAGTGAAAGGCAATTTCAATGTGCTGATTGTTACCTGGTGAGGTGTGTACATCAGCCCTGCACTAGTTCCTGTTCCCTCTCCCCACCCTTCATTTTCTCGGCCACAGACCCTGCAGCAGGACTCCCCCATATACTGCGATGTCCTTGAACTAAGTGTCAAGTGTAGGGGGATATTAGGGTTATCATTGAGGCTCTGCACAGGGTCTGTCATATGGGGTCCTGGGGGCTGGTTCCCAAAGCTCCAGGAAACGCTTCCCCTTCAACCTCCTGCAAACCTCTTGCTTCCGAGTGGAGCTGTAACATGCAGCACTGAACCACCAACAATGAGTTTCAATTACTTCTTGTCTATTAGTGTAGTGTACTTTTAGGAATTTCAGCATCAACCAAGTTCAACTAAAAGTTTAATACCAAACTTTGTAAATGCAGATTATGTGGGTGACATTGGCTTTGTACTTGGGAAGTCCTTCTTGCTAGGTATCTTATCAGGTATCTGTGATTTGCTGGCTCATAGAACCATCATAGAATCGTAGAATGGTTTGGGTTGGAAGGGACTTTAAAGCTCATGTGTTTCCAGCCCCCTGCCACGGGCAGGGACACCTTCCACTAGAGCAGGTTGCTCCAAGCCCCGCCCAACCTTGTCTTGAGCACTACTAGGGACTGGGAATCCCTTTGTTTACTAATTTGTATTTGAACACTGTTAAGAACATTTCTAGTAAAGTAAGAAGTTTCAGTACACTGCAAAAGCACTGGACTCATGCTCCTTCATGACTTTCTTTAGGTGGAACCAGTTCTGGGACGTGCATTGAAGCAAAGCTCCTGCAACACCGCAATGACTCTTCTACGCCGTTTTCCGCGCAGGGAAACCCCAGACGCGGAGTGCAGCACCGTTCACCTCGTCCTTCCGCTGCGATTCCCCTCGGCGAGGGAGTCAAACCGAGCAGAACAGCCCAGAAGCGCTGGAGCAGCGCCCTCGGGACGGGGTAAGCGCTCGTACCTCGCTTCAACACCACATCGCCACCGCGCGGTCTCGGCTCCCACCGCCCGCACCGCGGCCGC